GATGAATATGGAGATGAGGGAGGGAAAAATGGGGAGGCACTGTTCGGAAAACCTCCGCCCAGTTCCTTATATGGGGTCGCTTCCGAGTGGCTGACAGGTAGGCCCAGGCAATCCTGTCAAATCCCGAAACAGTCGCGCAGGCGATACGTGGCGAAAAAGGCGGCGCAGGAATCGAGGCGCCCCTGCCTTATCCCATCCGAGTACCGCAGTCTTCTCCGCTTCGCACGCTCCCCAAAATTCGGATCCCACTAAATCCGCTAACCGCAGGGAAACTTGTCAGACGGAAGATCTCCTGCGATCCGTCGCTCGGAATCTCCAAGTTCATAAAGTTCACTCGACAGATATAAAGAATGGATCAAGGCAACTGAACGAAAGTTGACACCCTCACCTGAAAGTCATTGATCCAGAGCAAAAACACCTTTACAGTACCAGAAAGCAGGTCGGAAAGATTGCCAACTCCTTCCTCACTCAAACCTCGATCCATTTCGGGGCTACTGATGAAGTCATGTACCTAGGGTAGGGTTACGGACCTGTCCAAGGTACCCTACCCAAGGACATCTTTTTAGTAGAAGCCGTCTTCCAGTCGACTAAGAGGAACTCCACTCGACGGACTAGAAGACACTCGACAAACCTGAAGACACTCGACCATGAAGACTCACTCGACCACCAGGAGTTCAGGATCTATTCTGTATCCAAACGGTCTATAATTAAGTAGTCTTAATGGTCATGATGACACTTTATGTACGGCGTTACCAGTAACGCCAGATCTTAATGTACTTTAACCCTCCACTACGTGGGCTGGTTGGGGTCTTGGCGTCCTCTATATAAGCCACCCCCCTCCACTGGTAGAAGGGTTCGCACCCCTGTAACTCTCACACATATAATCCAGTCGACTGCCTCCGGGCTCCGAGACGTAGGGCTATTACTTCCTCCGAGAAGGGCCTGAACTCGTAAAACACTTGTGTGCACAACTGCTCCATAGCTAGGATCTTGCCTCTCCATACCTACCCCTATTCTACTGTCAGGCTTAGAACCACGACACAGCCCTCCCGAGAGGTTTTAGGGCTTGGCGGCGGCTCCATATCGTAAAACACGATGAAACTTCCTCTCAGATTTTTTTTCTCCATGAAACGGAATATATGGAGTTGGAATTGAGGTCGGTGGAGCGTCAGGGGGCCCACGAGACAGGGGGCGCGCCCAGGGCGAGGGGGCGCGTGCCCCACCCTCGTGGACAAGGTGTGGGCCCCCTGGCCTTGATTCTTTCGCCAATATTTTTTATATTTTCCAAAAGTTATCTCTGTGGATTTGCAGGTCATTCCGAGAACTTTTGTTTCTGCACAAAAATAACACCATGGCAGTTCTGCTGAAAACAGCATCAGTCCGGGTTAGTTTCATTCAAATCATGCAAGTTAGAGTCCAAAACAAGGGCAAAAGTGTTTGGAAAAGTAGATACGACGGAGACGTATCAATGTCCAAACACGGAATGATTTCAAGGGCAATGCCGATCTGAAGTCGCACATTGCCTATCCACTTGAAGCTCTAAGCTTGCAGCTTACGTGTCGTGGCGCGGAGTTTGCAGTTTAGAACCAAATAAGGATTCCCCGTTGACGTGCAAGAATGCCAAGCTTCATGAATTGTCTCTAAGAATCCAGGAGCTTTTGGCCAGAAGGCTTCGAATTTGAACCGCTTCCCGAAAGTGAAATCCGCTTGAAGGTCCAGAAGCAATGGACAGTGATCCAAGAACGAAGATCCCAGCGCCGTGAGGAAGCAGGAGGGGTAAAGGTCCTCCCAAGAATTTGTAGCAAAAACATGGTCGATCTTCTCCAAAGTTGCATGCGCTCTCTCATTGGACCACGTGTACCTTCTCCCATTAAGGTAAATTTCCTTGAGCTCAAGCCTATTTAGTCTTGTCTGGAAACGACAGATCATTCTGCAGTTGATCGAGCTGTTATTTTTGTCCTCTGGATGGACAAGCAAGTTGAAATCCCCAACTAACAACCACGGCCCTGCTTGCAAATCCCGAGCATCCTCCAATTCGCGCATGAACTCAATTTTTGCTGCCTCGGGATTGGGGCCATACACGCCCGTAATCCACCATGGATTCGATCCAGGGGATGAGACGACCGCCGAGATGGTGTTCTTGGTGAGGTGAGGGTTCGAGAGGGTTACAACGAGGGGATCCCAAGCTAGAAGAATTCCTCCACATGTGCCCAAAGCTGGCAGATAATAAAAACCCTTGAATTTATTTCCCACACATTGCAAAACAATGTCCAAGGTCAGCACCGCCATTTTAGTCTCTTGGAAACAGATCAAGCTCGGATCCGCTTTGACGACTGTCTGAAAAACAGCCCTACGTCGTGCTGGGTTATTGAGTCCATATACATTCCACACTATCATCTTGAGCGGTTGCGAAGTCATGAAAAAGGCCCACACACTCCGCCTCTAGAGGAGAGCCTAAGCTTGTCCATCCACTGCCTCCACTTCTCCGAGCATTGGTGCCGCCGGTGATTCCCAACCGAACAATGCGAGGATGGCCGCGATTTGCCCGTCGGTGAGTGGGTTGTCGAAGAGTCTAATGTAAGCTTGAAGGGCCTCGTCGCCAATTGTGTCACCTTCATGCGCAAGACAAGGCTTGCGGATGATCACTTGTTGCTGTTTTGTCACTTGTATGATGTGTGATGAACAATTTATTTGTAGTGTCTGTGATTCATTTGAGATGAGTTTGGTATGAATATGTTCAATATGTATGCAATTGTTGTGTCCAATATACATCACCTGTTGGAGCAAAATGGTGCTCTATTTTACATCATCTGTTGGAGCAAAAATGTTTCAGGTGATGTATAATGTATTTTTTTTGGTGATATAAAACTGTTTCTTTTGTGTTTAAGATACATCACCTGTTGAGGATGTTGTTCCTCGTGATGGAACCAACCCACTAGAATTCAAATCCTACACGGTATTGGTGGCCATATTTTTTTTGTGATTATTTCTGATGCGCTAGCTCAATCTCTCGGAGGTGCTCATGGGTAGGATGTGCCTGCGTGATTTCATGTGAGTGTATGTGCATGTGTATGAGCATGTCTGCGTTTGTACTGTGTGTTAAAAAAAGATTCCTATTATGAATCCAATGAACAAAGTGAAAACAGTAATATAAGAAGAGAATACTATGTATTAGCGGATTGTAACTCTAGTTAAGGAATAGAACTCCTTGATTTCCTGAAAACAAATGTACGGCTGTCTTCCAAATGGAATGGCATACCATCAGTGCCAACGTCACCTGTAGCTCTAGCCCATTTGGAAGCAAGCTGTTGATGTTCGCCATTCGGCGGCTTCAAGGCCGGCACATGGCAAAGATAGCACAATGGCACCAAATATATAGGGCGCATCGGAGGTTTCACATCAGAACCAGACACGTCTTCATTTCACATCAAAATTTCTCCTCTTCCTATCCATGGGCACGGACGCACAGCACCAGCAACACAGCTATGTATAACTTATATTTAATTAGTTAAAATCATGATTAAAAAATAACTCAAAATACAAGTGGGCTTACAAACCAGGACGAAGGTGCTCCCTCCGGTCATTTTTATCCTGCGTATTAGATTTGTAGATTTGTCTGAAGTCAAATTTTACTAAGTTTGACCAAATTTATGTTAGAAAATATTAACATCTATAATACCTAATAAATATAATATGAAAATATAATCTTAGGTGAAGTCAAACGATAGATAGATAAAACGAAAAACTACTACTACTCGTCATCCTCCAACTCGGACTCTGTCTCGGTGATGTCCTCCAACGTCTAAACGTAGGCCTCAAGGAACCGCTCGTCGTTGGAGTCCCAGGACGAAGCATCTCCTAGGGTGATGTTGAATTTAGCGACCGTCTTCCTCGTTCGCCTGTCCTCGCGATAAGCGGCTCGCTCCTCCCTCCTCTCATCCCTCTCCGCCCTCCTCTCAGCGAAGAACTGTTGCTTGTTGATGACGTCTTGCGGGAAGCGTTGGCGCCACAGAGCCATGGCCTCCTCGTCTATCTCGGCCAGGCTGAGACGGCGCTCCCGCCTCCGGTTGTCGCGACGATCCTCGTCAGTGATAAGCCGCGGGGAGGCGTCAACTCCTGCGCCCGCTCCCGCGTCGCCACGTCCGGAAAGTTCATGTCCCAACAGGACCGCCGGAGGCCCCACATCGCAGCAGCGCCCGCGCGGGCGCCCTCCTGGGCGGTGTCGAAGGTTCCGAGGCCGAGGCGCACGTCGCCGGACAGAATCTCGGCGGAGTAGGTGCCGGCCGAACGCACGCGGACGCCGCGGTAGCCCGAAGCGCCCCGGCGGCGCGGCGGTGTGGTGGCGTGTCAGCGGCGAGGAGAGAAAGCGGTAGAAGGAGCGATGAGAGAGCGGCGGAGGGCGCTGCAAGTTTATAGGCATGCCGAACGCGGTGCGCCAAATCTAGCGCGCGAGATCCCTCTTTCTCCCGTGCGCGCAATCGTTTTCCCCGCGCGCTAGTTTCCCGCGCCCGCCGGAACGCGAAAATGTCCCCCACACGCTAAAATGGCATTTTACCTCGCGCGCGTCTTTTGGCGCGTTGGAGATGCTCTTAGTGTCCCTCTTTTCATCCGCGAAACTACTTAGCAAACGACACACGCTGGCCGATTTGGAGACGACACTACATCCAATGGTTGTGCTACAGTTTATCCTCTGCATGGATGGTTTGATTGACAGTGTCGTCCCAAAATCGGTTATGCAGCGTCGTCTGTGTAGCAGCACTCCTGAATCCGTATATTGTATGCACGTCTGACCGCCAAATGGAACAGCATACCGTCAGTGCCGACGTCACCTGTAGCTAATCCATGTGGTTGCAAGCTGCTGGTGTTCGCCGTTCGGCGGCTTCAAGGCCGTCACATGGCCAAGATGGTGTACAATACGGAGTACAATGGAACCAGTATATAGGGTGCATGAGAAGCAGATACATCTTCATTTCACATCAAAATTTCTCCTCTTTCTATCCATGGCCACGGACGAACAGCACCAGCGACACAGCCGCAACGGCGGCGTGCACACCGGCCACCACTTCCTCATCGTGGCCTACGGCGTCCAGAGCCACCTCAACCCGTGCCGCGTCCTCGCGCACCGCCTCGCGCGCATCCACGGCGTCGACGGCTCCGGGCCCGTCCTCGCCACGGTCTCCCTCCCGGTCTCCGCTCACCGCCGCATGTTCCCTTCTTCCCGAGACGTCGACAACAAGGATGCCGCCAGCGCCACCGACGGCGTCGTCTCTTACGCTCCATACTCCAACGGCCTCGACGACGGCTCCATGGCCAGAGACGGCGAGGCCAGGGCGCGCAGCCGCCAGGCGACCTTTGAGAGCCTGTCAGCCGTCGTCGCCACCCTCGCCGCACGTGGCCGGCCCGTCACGTGCGTCGTTTGCAGCATGGTTCTCCCCGCGGCGCTGGACGTCGCGCGTGAGCACGCCATCCCGCTGGCCGTGTACTGGATCCAGCCGGCCACCGTGCTCGCCGCGTACTACCACTACTTCCACGGCCACGGCCACCTCGTCGCGTCCCACGCCGCCGACCCCGCGTACGAGGTGTCCCTGCCCGGACTGCCCCGCCCGCTCCGGATCCGCGACTTCCCGTCCTTTCTCGTCGACACCACGGGTAGCGAGCTGGCCAAGGTCTTCAACGAAGCGGCCGGAGAACTGTTCGAGCGCTTGGGCGATCACGGCTGCACCAAGGTTCTCGTGAACACTTTCGACGAGCTGGAGCCGGCAGCGCTGGCAGCCATGAAGGAGCACCTAGACGTGTTCGCCGTCGGGCCGGTGATCGGATCCTCCTCGGCCGAGCCGCGCATCCACCTGTTCAGCCACGCCGGCGCCGACGTGAAGAGGTACATGGAGTGGCTGGGCGCGCAGGCGGCGAGGTCGGTGGTGTACGTTTCGTTCGGGAGCGTATGGACGTACAGCGAAAAGCAGATGGAGGAGATTGCCAGCGGGCTGCGGCGGTGCGGGCGGCCGTACCTGCTCGTCGTGCGCAACGACGGGCGGCAGGAGGACGTGAGCCGGAGCCTGGATGACCTCGTGCAGGAGGGGCTGGGCATGGTGGTGGAGTGGTGCGACCAACCCAAGGTCCTGTCGCACCCGTCCGTGGGATGCTTTGTCACGCACTGCGGCTGGAACTCGACGCTGGAGGCCATGGCCCTCGGCGTGCCGGTCATCGCTGCGCCAAGCTTGTTCGACCAGCCGACGAACGCGTTCTTGATAGAGGAGGAGTGGGCTTCCGGCGTCAGAGGGGAACGCAACAGCGAGGGCGTCTTCACCGGGGAGGAGCTCGCGAGGTGCGTGGAGCTGCTCATGGGTCATGGCCCGAGGGCTATTGAGATCAGGGAAAGAGTAGAGGCTCTGAAAGGGATGGCGCAAGAGGCCGCGGCTTCGGGCGGGCCGGCGGAGCGGAGCCTCCGAAGCTTTGTCATGGCAGCCGGTTCGTCGGATGAAGTTTGCAGGAATACACCACCAAATCTGTCCAAATCGATTAAGTCGATGCATGCTGGAGTGGATCAGCTAGCTCTCTCGATCGGTCGGAGTTAAACAACATTTAATAACCAGGATTGCTAAATCTCAGTTGTCTAAGGCCTTGTTTGGTTCATAAGTCCAAGAACTTTTTTTAGTCCCAACTTATACGTCCCAAGTCCCTAAAAAGTCCCTACATGTTTGGTTCCTGGGACTTATAAGTTCCTATAAGACCATATTATAACTATAAGTCCCTATAAGTCCCTCCTTGAGAGTCTTATTTCATAAGTCCCAAACGACCACTTTAAGTCCCTATAAGTCCCTCCTGTTTGGTTTAGATGTGACTTATAGGGACTTTTTTAAGTCCCTAAGCCAATAAGTCCATGGAAACAAACACCCTCTAAGACTTAACCAAGTCTCAGTCGATGATATATCCGCAGGATTTTACATGGAGATCCGGGTAAAAAAAATAGTTTTTCTTTTACTTAAGTTATTATGTCAATTGACTTAGGCTTCGTTAAGTCTCAGTCGACTGTGACATAGTCACTACTAGTATAAGGATGTTTTTTTTTTAAAATTGTCTGGATTACTTATCACAACTAGTATAAAGATGCTTCTCACGCCGTATGCAGCAACTTAATAGTAACACGTTAACTGCTTATTACTGCCTCCGCTTTAGTAAGTTAAATTGTACGGAATTGCTAACTCACATCTAGATAAAATTTAGTTACGATCACATCTCTAAGTCCAAAACCGTCCGCTGGTCTTTAATTTTCATGCAAAATCAATGTCACGCTCGCCCAGCATTATCCCATTGTCTTGTCACACGCGCGGAGCGTCCTCGCCAGCCTCCTGCCCGCGTTTGGCCAATTCTACCAGTTTGTTGTTTATTATATTGGGTTACGTTCTCAAGCGGTACGTGGGCCGATCTGCTTTGTTTGTTTTCTTTTGCATTTTTTCCTTTTTATTTATTTGTTTCCAAATTCATGAACTTTTTATAAATTCATGATTTTTTTCTTTTTCTTTGGATGTCTATATCTACCTGACGTCCGGTCCGAGAACCTCCCAGACCAAACGAAAGGTTCGGTACGGCAGCACCCCAGAACAAATGATTAAACCACTACTGCCCGAACATCCTGCCCATCGGCCCTACAGGCCTTTCCTTCGTAAAAGATGACAAAGGGAAAAAAATCCAGTAGCAAAGCCTAGTTTTTTTTTGCCTGTCACAAATAAAAGCCCGGCTTTTGTTGTGCTATAAAAATGTCGTCAACTCTAAAAAGCAGAAAAATGTTGATTAAAATTGCCATTAACGATTATATTGACATGTATGTAAATGTTATAAATTGCCATGGAAATGTTAAAAAATATGCCATGGCAAAAAATAGTAAAATTTGCCATGGAAAATTTAAAAGTAAAATAAAATCATAGCAAAACAAGAGGTAAAAAAGAATTTGCTAGGCGTTGTAGGTAAATTTTCCAAGTCATTAAAGGTAAAATTGCCATTTTTTACTGTGACAAATAAAAAGCCCACTTTTTGCTGTGGTACGGAAAAATGACAACAACTGGTGCCAAGGTTAAAATTGCCATGGTCGACCCAAGTTAAATTTGGCATGACAAATAAAAACAATAATTTGCCATGACCGACCAATTATAGTTTTGACATCGCAATAAAACTAAACATGCCATGTTGGCATGACAAAGAAAAACAATAATTAGACATGATTGACCAAGTGTAATTTAGCCATGGTAATAAAACTAAATTTCCCATGCCAGTATAGATAGTTTTGCCATGGGAATCAAACTAAATTCACCATGCCAGTATAGATAATTTTTCCGTGGCAATAAAACAATATCAGAAAACTTAAAAAATGCCATGGCAATAAAAGGTAAAATTTGACATGGCAATATAGCTAAATTTGCCATGTCAATGAAGGTGAATTTTTCATGGCAAAAAAACAAAAGTAAATTTAATTCGCCATGATAGACTAAAATAAAAAAATTAACTCGTATGTGAAAGTAAATATAGTGTTGCCATGACAATAAATCTAAATTTTGCCATGGCAGAATAGATAGTGTTGCCATAAAAAATAAGTGTGAACATGCCATGGAAAATAAGATTTGAAATTGCCATGGCAAGAAAGGTTCCAAATTGCCACGTCGATATAGGTAAATTTGTCATGTCAATAAAGTTGAATTTGCCATGGCAAAAAAAAAAGTAAATCTAATTAGCCGTGATCGACTACAATGTTTTTTTTTGCCTTGGCGGTATAAATAATTTTGTGATGGCAAAAAAAATGTAAAAAATTGCCATAAAATTAAAGAGTATAAATTGACATGGCAATAATATTTAAAATTTGCCATGGCGATTTAGGTAAAATTGCCATGTGAATAAGGGCAAATCTGCCATAGCAAATTGAAAGGTTAAAATTGCCATGCCGAGTAAACTAAAAAATTGACATGATGTATTAATGGTCGACGTTAGGGAAAACATCTACACTTGCCATGGCAACACATGTTAAGTTGCCATGGCAAGTGTTTATTGGCATGTCAATAGAACTCCAATGCCATGGCCAAACATATTAATTAGCCATGGAAAACAAGACATCTTAAGTTGCCATGACAAAATGTATATTTAACTTTCCATAGCAAAAACACCGTAAAATGCAATGATCACCTCAATGCCATATGACCATATGATCATATGACACATAGTTACTAAAAGGCCTATATTTGGCGTATGACCATTAGAAAACAATAAATCTAGGATGGGCCATGATGTTAGGACAAAAACTATAAAAGAGAATTGTCATGTGAATGAATTAACAATTATAAAAGTTGCCCAGGGGTTAGAATTTGTAATAATCAAAGAAATTGACATGTTTTGCTTTTGCAGTTTTGCTAAACATCATGATAAGAAATTGAAATGGTAGATAGATTAGATGCTAGTTGAAACCTAGAAATGAATAAGAAAAGATGTGGGAATCTTGGATCTAGTGATTTTGCATGAATTAAGTTGCACAAATAGAAACAGGTTGCATAGAGGAACAAATGGCAACTACTTCTATGAAAGAGCACCACGTTTCTGAACATTGGGTTCTCACCCCGCACGCAGCTCGCCGCTGGCCTGTCCACGTAACTGGAGCTGGATGACCTCAAGGCTGGTGCTAGAATCGCACCGCCCCTTTCTCCTCTCACTACCGGCACCAGGCGAGTGCTATATGTAGCGAACTTGCCATCGCCTATGGGCCACGACACCTCCAATCCCCTGAATTCGGCGCTGTGACTTGCACTTCCCGCCACTCGTCCACCACATCTCCCCTCTGCCCCGCCAAAGCTAACCCTACTCCCCATGGCAGCTTGCTGCTGCAGCGGGCTAGAGCCCGTGGAGGAGATAAGGCGGGAGGATGCTTCTCATCTCTGGCATCATGAGCCTCCTCCTGCTCTCCGCCCAGCGACCGTCGGTGAGCTCCCGCACATCCAGGACGAGCCTCCCCCTTCTTTCGCCTAGCCGCCGTCGGCAAGCTGCCACACATCCGCTCTCTCCTTCCTCCATCCTTCTACTATATTGCTATGGAAGTGAGTGGATAGGGCACCGGGGGATGGGAGAGGGGGATGAAACCGTGTTGGGAATGGATAAGGGTGGGGATGACTACGTCATTCAGAAGATTAATATGAAAACAAGAATGGGTGCAAAAAGATGACGTGGTTGATCTCCCTGCTCTAAGATGCGTGCAACCAATCAAACGGCTCGCGGCGTGTTTGGGCTGACATCCAAAAATAGTGGTCATTCGGCCATTATCATTTTTGGTTTCTTTTCCATTTTCTCTTTCTTTTTTATTTTTACTTTAAAAATCATGTCTTTTTATTAAAAAAATGTGAGCGTTAGTTAAATGTCCCCAATCAAACATGTGTCGACCTTTTTCTTGCCTCACTTGCAAGCGTATCTTTGACATGCAAGGTACATGAGCGAACCAATCACTTGAGAATATCTCAATTGATCTACAGTCGTGCCTTCAAACTTTCGAATCCGCACGCTAGGATCATAAGGTGTTGCAGAAGGTTTGTAGTCTGAATATCCAAAACAACTCAAAATCTTCTCAACATAGTTTGATTGCAAAAGTGTAATTTCACCCTCAGTATTTCTCAGTAGCTTGATGTTCAAGATAACATCAGCCATGCCCAGGTCTTTCATCTCAAAGTTATGAGTTAGAAAAGCATTGACCTCCTCAATAACTTTGAGATGGGTCCCAAATATCACTATGTCATCGACATACAGAAACAGTATAACTCCTTCGCCCCCACCATGGCGATATACACAATTGTCAGCTTCATTAACAAAAATTAAGAAGTTGTCAAAGTTGTATTAAACTTCTCATGCCATTGCTTAGGCGCTTGTTTTAGGCCATAAAAAGGTTTCACTAGCTTGCACACATTTTTTCCTGACCATTTACTATAAAGCCATCTGGTTGTTGCATCTAAATTTCCTCGTCTAGCTCTCCGTTAAGAAAAGCCGTCTTAACGTCCATCTGATGAACGAGAAGACCATGCAAGGCAGCCATTGCGAGTAACACTCAAATGGTTGTCAGTCTAGCCACAGGTGAGTAACTATCAAACAGATCGTCTTCTTCTTTCTGGGTGTAATCCTTGGCCACAAGCCTACCCTTGTACTTCTCAATAGTACCATCGGGCCTAAGCTTTCTTTTGAACACCCACTTACATCCCAATGGTTGGCAACCATAAGGACGATTAGTGATCTCCCATGTCCTGTTAGCCAAGATGGAATCCATCTCGCTACGAACCGCATCCTTCCAGTAGTCAACATCCAGAGATGCATAAGCTTTTGAAATGGAACTGGGAATGTCATCATCCATGAGGTACACAAGGAAGTCATTACCAAAAGACTTTGCAGTCCTCTATCTCTTGCTCCTAACATGAGCTTCCTCGTCATCCTCCGATGAACTTTCATCATTTTTTTGTTCATAATATTCCATCAGAATGACTGGTTCTGGAGTCTCATCAGATTCCAGTCTAGAAGTGCTTTGCATATCTCTCATGGGGAAAATATCCTCAAAGAATGT